CAAATTAATTTTGCTGAAGAAAAATGAAAATTAGTTATTTTTGTGCATCAAACTGCAACTATGGAGCATCGATTGTGGTGTAGTAATCTCAATTACATTCTCATTAGATATGGCTTATCTTCTATTGGGCATTTCTAAAAGAAAGAATTATTGGTTATTATTTTTTTCATTTTTGTTGTTCATTACAATCTTTAAATTTGTGGAGTATAAAATACTTGCTAGCTTCATGATGAAGTACTCATGCTTCATTGGTAAAGGTTTGATTCCCACCTTATAATTTCCTTCAGTGGCGGAGCCAGGATTTTCAGTAAGGGGGTTCAAAATCTAAAAATATAGACACACGAAGTAGCCGAAGGGGGGTCGACATCTACTATATATACCTAAAAAATTATTTTAACCATGTATAAATCATATAATTTTCCGCTGAAGGGGGGTCGGATGACCCCCCTCATTGTAAGGTGGCTCCGCCACTGATTCCCTCCCATATCTCGAACCTTGAGGATCATGACATAATGCATCACCATTGTACAATATCTAGTTCCTATCGTTTGTAGAATAATGCCTACAATTTAGATGTTGCATTTACTAAATGGCATGAGCCATTTCATGCCTATTAAATCTCTTCGGGATAAATTTATGACAATGGGGAAGCAAGACTCTTATTTCCACCATTATAGGTACATTTTTAGGCAAAATTTAACTCATTTACATTAGGTGATTGTTTCCAGTTAACATGGTTCGAATGACGTATAACATAGTTAGGGATCGTTTGGTAGAGTGTATAAGAATAATGCAAAATAGGGTGCATTAGTAATGCTTACATTAGTTGTGCTTGCATTAGTAATGCAAGCATTATTTCTTATACATTGTTTGGTTTGAAGTATGAAAACTAACAAATATTGCATAATTTCTATTAAAAATATATATGTTTACAAAAATACCCTTCACACTTTATTTATTTGTACACTTCCTTTGCAACAAAGTTATTTGCTAAAACATCAAAAAAATATTTCTTTGCTAAAACATCATTAACTCTTCATTCTTCTTTTTTTCAAAAATAATATTAAATAGTTATACTATTGAATCAAAATATTTTTATAAAAAATTGGTAAAGAATTATTTTTTTCTACATTGAAAACAAAGCATTTAGGTTGTCATCAAATACTAATAAAATATAGGAAAGTAATGCAATCAACTCAAGAAAAAGATAGTTATTTACTTGTTCACATCTAATTATTACTTGGCTATTAAGATAAAACAACTAAGATCAAATTTTTGTACAACAAAAAAATTCTACCTTCATATTTTTTATCATATTTTAAAGATGAATTTATGTACTACTAATTAAGAAAAGCATAACGGATGTGAAAAAAGAACAAGTTTTTTTTTTTGAGTTAATAAGTTGGGGTGAGGCAGTGGGCTGCTTAAAATTTATCGTCACAATAATAAAAATTTTGATTAAATTATATTGAAATTCGATTTTTTTTAGAGATACTTAAGAGGCATAAATCCTATTAAGACACCAATAAATTAAAAGACACTAAAAACAAATCAACATAAAACTTATGACAACAAAGAAAATGAAAAGACTTTAAGGGTAGTTTTGTAATTATTTAATCTAATGCTAAGTGTTAAAATGTTATGTATTACTAATACCTAGAATTTCTTGGTATTAGTAATACACAACTTAATACACAATAAATTATACATGACATGAAAAAGTGTACCAAACAAAATATTGCTAATACACACATCTATTTTTTATTGTTCGCTCGAATAGAATTTAAAGGAGCTAGAGTAATTATTTGTTGCTGCCTTCAATCTATTTTTGATTGTTCGCTACAGTTCTTTTTCATTTGCAGATATATGAACAAGAGAAAGAAATTGAGATCATGCAAAATATGATAAAGGAAGAGAATTATATTTCGCCTGTTTAAGAAGATCCACATTAAAATTATCAATAACTGAATTCTCCATCTCAAAACAGATAGAGATATCTTTCATATTCAAATCATGTTTGTCTTTTACAGAGGTAGTTACTTTTTCGAAGGAATATCAAAGTTTATAGAAGCTGCAATGTATATAATCTAAGTACAGAGATAGAGCAAAATACCAAAACAGAGATAGAGAAAAAGTCATGTGCATAATCTATTGCTTTGTTAAAAAAACTCATGGTGGTTATGATAGAGACTGAAAATGCACCACTTTATTAAAGAATCGGGATTATTAATACTCCACTAAAAAAATAGGACTATTTTGAGTCTAAACTCAAAGATAATGAACTATTTTAAGCCTTTTCTTTAATTAATCCACATTTATTATATCATTTTGCTTGAAAAAAGACAAGCTCGATTGTTCAAATTTCTTCACCTCTTTTTAGCTTTCCGTTTTAGCTCATCTTTTTTACCTTTGGTTAAAGTAAGTTTTCTCGTTCTTTGTTGATTATTATTGTCACGATCCAAAACGAATTATGATTGACACCCACACTTAACCTCCTAGGTGAGCGAACCAATGAATTCAATCCAACTTATATCAATTGTTCAACTTATGGAAATCAACCATAATGCGAAATCTCAAAATTTATTAAAGTAACCAATAAAAGAAACCTCTAGAGTCTATTACATATTATTCCCAAAACCTGAAAATCATCACATCAAGGACATTTATTCTCAAAATACCAAGTCTAAAAGTATTTAAGACACCAAAATAAATAAGTAGGATAGTCTATGTCCGAAATTTAAGTACATCAAGTCATGACTGAGAAAATCCAGCACGAGCTAGAAGGAATAGCTCACCCTGAAATCTGATGTGCTGGAAACTGGCTAGAGTAGAGGGCGAGTCGAAGTCGATGGTACACTTGCTGCACTCCACAAAAGAAAACAAAGAAACACAAGTAGGGCTCAATACACGGCAATTTGAACTGAGTAGATATCATCGGGCAACTAAAAGTAGAAACTAACATGCAATGAGTAATAGTATAAATTCAACTATGGCACTTAGCAGGTGGCAAGCAACAACCAACATGAACAAGTGACAACAACACTAAAGTAAGTACGTAATCAGTCAACAATATCAAGATCACACATGAGGACTCATGCCTCCAAACCAAGCTATTTTGGAAATTGAGTTCTTTGAGATTGAGTACATTACGTTGTTTATATATGTTTTCATTTAATGTTACCGTGCCGGAACGTGACACCCGATCCAATAACATCGTGTCGGCTTGTGGCACCCGATCCAATATATCGTGTCAGAACGTGACACTCAATTCAATAATATTGTGCCGGCTCGTGGCACCCGATCCAAATATATCGTTAATTTATCATTTATTATCACCATTTTTCACTTCATTAACAATATTTCATCTAGACTTCTTTATTCAAGGCATCAATTCGATAGAGAAGCTTCAAGATTATAAATTTCACGGTCTCAAGATTTCAGACCAATCACAAACAACACATAGATTATCCAAACCACACAACCAAGTACATAGAGAAATTCACATATCACTCACTGACTATCAATCACTATTAAGAGTCTATCTATCAAATAGAATAAACAATAACCTACCTCAACCAAAGAACCAAAGTCAAGCAACCTAGTTCCCCAATGCTTTTCCTTTCCTCAATGCCTCAGAATGTTTCCAATCTATCAAGTATTCATAATTCATAAGTAAACAAGTCTATAGACACTCATATTACTACAATCACTTTCTTAAATTTTGATGCCAACTAATATGTCAACTCTAATATTTCCTAAATTTCAAGCTTGGGATTAAGTCTTAATTCTTCAAAATAACATAACTCTAGTGCATTTTATATAATACAACACCCAATATTTAGTTACTTAACTCAATATATTAAAACTTGAATCATAATGTGATAATAAAATAATACTAATTAAAAATGGGAGGCAACTGGTTACATACCAGTGGCGACAACCATGTTAGACTCTTAAAATCTGCACTATAACCAACAACCTAACCTATCATATTGTATAAACCACGCTACACGGGAGCATCTTTCAAATTGCAATTTATTTTCATCTATGGAATAATGAAGCATTACATATATTAATTAACACACATATATCAACCCAACACCTACTCTACCCATCGCTACAACTTCATCAGACCACTAATCTCAACCCCATCCTTGAATTAGTTTGCAATCATTAGTAGTATAAATTACAAATAGAATTTAGGAAAATTCTATTCTCTAATAACAATTTAGTAAATTAGAATTTCCAAGCACCTGGTTACGAAACCAAACTGTGAACACACTTCAATTTTAATATAATGAACTCAAATTGATTAACAACTTTTACTTTAGTTATTGATCATTAATGCTTGTATCAACTTTCCAATTATAAACTATCCATTCATTCGCCAGATATTATCTCCACACTTTGTTATCCGAAAATCCCCCACTAACCTATGGATAATAATTCACACCTATATCCCTACACTTGCACTAAATAATTTCTTTACATCACCAATCAGAAAACTAATCACAATTCAATCACCTACATATAATACATGTAACTAAAAAAATTGAAGAGAATTCTCACCCGAAGTCGCCCGTGATTTTCCTTCGTTCAATGCCGCTTTCCGTTATTCCCCTCTTCTCCTCTTTTCTTTTCTTCTACAAATTATACATTCCCCTAATTATTATATGACTAATTATAAAAGTGGTAAAAGTGAACACTATTAATTTTAATATTTTTTTCTTTAACCACCAATTATATTAATTATTAAAACTACCCCACGAATTTTATAATTGTAGTTATGAATAGTCCAAAATACTCATTTTGAATCTATCAGAAGAGTCTTTTATGAAATACAAAACTCTAGTACTCAAAACGACCAAAAGGGTCATTACATTAGATACCAATTTACACATTGTTCGTCCTCGAATGATCAAAAGAAGACAAGGGTAAGAAAGGGTTCCTGAATCGATAAAAAGGTGTGGATATATTTCATGCATATTAGTCTCACTCTCTCAAGTGGATTCTCCAACCAACCGATTCTTCCATTGAATCTTGATAGATGCAATCTCTTTTGATCTTAACTTGCGGACCTCCCTATCTAGAATATCTACAGACTCCTCCTCATAAGACAGATTCTCATCAAACAGGACCGAATCCCAACGGATAATGTAGTTTTCATCATCGTGATATTTTTTCAGCACTGACACATGAAATACTGGGTGCACTAATGACAACCCTAGAGGCAAGGCCAATTCATAGGCCACATCCTCCACACGCTTAAGAACTTCAAATGGTCCAATATACCTTGGACTAAGCTTACCTTGCTTACCAAAACTCATCACACCCTTCATGGGTGAAACCTTCAGCAGCTCTTGCTCTCTCTCCATAACTTTTAAGTCCCTGACCTTTTAGTATGCATACTTTTTCTGCCTGCTCTAAGTTGAATAAATTTTACCTTCTCTAATGATTCCCTCAAAAGATTAGTAACCCAAGGTCTCACCTCAAATGCATCAGACCAACCAATTGAAGACCAACACCTCCTCTCATACAATGTCTTAAATAGGACCATCTCAATACTTGAATGATAACTATTGTTGTATGTAAACTCGACTAACAATAAAAACTATTTTCAATAACCACCAAAGTTAATCGTATGCACATCTACATCATGTTCTCAAGGACCTTAACATAACCATTAGGTGGAATCTTTTCTTACATTACCATGATAAAAATCCTGAATCAATACTGGCTATAATTAGAAGTGAACCTGAACCAACCACCACACACTCATAATACACAAACCAAGGTTGAATAACACTAAATACTTCCTCTAAAGAGCCCATATCAAATATTTTCATTCAGTTGACTCCATTTCTTCTTTTTAGCTACCTACAATCTACCGGTCTGGTCCTCATTATAATCATACATATACTCTATTTATCAGACGTCACATACTCTTCACATCATTCCACTGAAGCCCACTCTGTCAATACTAACATTCATCATATATACATCGCCCATTTACCTTACTTTAAACCAACACTTTTAAGTGAAATTGTTCTTTAGGTCCTTTAACAATAAAAAAATGTAACAACCTTTACAACCCAAACCATACATAAGTCATTCCAAATGCTCAATACCCGATGCAATTGATCATTTCTTACCTTACAAATTCATACCTTAACAAAATATACCATTACGAATGTAGATTTACAATGAAAAAATTGAATTGTGAATCCAAATGTGTAACCCAATACCCTTATTTATTAACATTAGCTCATACCCTAAAGATTTTTATGAATTCATGTATCTTAGTTTATCGTTGATCGCCTCTCCATCGACCTTATCATATCCTTCACTAAAAGCCCAACTATACTCATTACCAAGCTCCAAATCACAAAAGAACTTATCATCACACTCGAGCTAAATGTCTATACACCTCTTTATGAAGTTTTATCTAATGGTTTTTAAACAGATCTGATGAACCAGTGACACTATTACCATAACTAGATCAAAATGGATGAAATCACACATCTCTGAACCCAACTCTCAACCCCTCTGAAGATACCTTTTTATCCCTTGCAATCAGAGAAAATAATCTTGCTCCCACCTCTTTACGAAGGCTATACTACATTTCATTAAAAAAAAAAAATTATGACTCTAGCTCCTTTAAATTCTATTCGAGCGGTGTACCACTCCTAAAACTTTCCATACAATAATATTACTCACTGAATAGTAGAAAATCACGACCTTAGATACTCACAAATAGTTATTACTAGACAAAATTCGTTTAACCAACAATCTTTATTATATAGTTGTATCCCAATCACAATCCATCACGAACTCTTATTACCATCATGCTCAGTTAGCCTTTGTCATCACCATGAAGTCAACATTTTCATCAATGTGACACCTCAAACCCACTTATACCAATCAAATTCAAAGGACTAACCTAATTTTATACGCACTTTCTTACTAAAATCTTCAATTGCATTCACCCAAGTATACTTACTGGACTTTCTTTACCCATAAGTTTGTCATTCCAGTATCAATCCACTCCCTTGGAGCTTAATATAAAATCACTAGTCCTCATTTAGAATCCTCAAGATACACTTCACAACCTAAGTGCATTAATACCATACCAAAGGTCCATCACCAAAAAATTTCTTAAAAACAATGCTCAATCCAAGCATTCGTAGTAAAACAAGTTGGTTCTCAAATGTGACTGAAACACTGAATCTGAACATGTCAGACAACTGATAATTCTTAAGTGGTCAGTATTTAGACTTGACAATCGACATATCCATTTTAGATAACACTAGTATCACATCGTGAAAGTCTGTTAGATAAATCGCTAGAACACATCATACCTATCGAGAAGATCGTACCCAATTATCCCACACATTTCTATCCATTGAATAGCTGCAAAACATTATCAAATCCGTTTTGTATCTAGCCCAAGTAATTTGCATTCTTTCTTAGATTAGGTCAATAACAAAAGTAACACACTTCATAACTCTAAACAAGTAAGCATCGGTATTGTTGTACTAGTCATATCATGACCCTCTTTAATATGCACTCAATCTATGAAACCGTATTAGAGATTCTAACCTCAACTGGTGTAACATAGTTTCATCATTTGCTAAGGAACCCATACATGTTATGACAACCTTACTAACTGTATTTTCCAAAGTAATGGTATTCATTATCTAGTCGTCCCTTACGAAATTTCTTGAATGCTATCACCTTGGCAAAGTCATATGTCTTCACCCTCTCTAACTCCATCACAAAATAAACTACTTCCTGAAAAGATTTTGTTAAAGCAAGCACCTATAAAGCTTGAATCTACATATCTGACCTCAATCCCTTCACAAAGTAGTGAATCCTTTCTTTTAGACTGAAGCAAAGTTGAGTCGCATATCTAGATAAATCACGAAATTTGACCTCATAGGATGCAACAAACATCTTCCCTAGTTCTATATTCAGGACTTTTCTTTCATCCTGTCCCTCAAAGTTCGGGGTATATACTTCTCCGTGAAGAAGCTAGAAAATGTTGCCCAAGTCATAGGTAGTGCCTTTACTGATCAATACTCAACATGAGACCGCCACCACATTTTGGCGTCTTCGTGAAACTAATATATCACAATCTCAACATCAAACCTCTCCAATATATTCATCTTATGAAGCAGCTCATGACAATCAACAAGGAATAAGCATCTTCATAATAAGTACTGATGAAGAATGGGGGTTTTAAGTTTAAGAACTTAATAAAAAGGATCATGTTAGTCACTAGTCACTAGTCATTACATGCCCACAGTGAATCAGGGAAACATACCAATTTCCAAGGACACGTTTTCTATTGCTAGTGTTATTGTTTCCACTTCTACTTCCTGAAAAGATTTTGTTAAAGGAAGCACCTATAAAGCTTGAATCTGCATATCTGACCTCAATCCCTTCACAAAGAAGTGAATCCTCTCTTTTAGACTGAAGCAAAGTTGAGTCGCATATCTAGATAAATCACGAAATTTGACCTCATAGGATGTAACAAACATCTTCCCTGGTTTCATATTCAGGACTTATCTTTCATCTTGTCCCCTCAAAGTTTGGGCTATATACTTCTTCGTGAAGAAGCTAGAAAATGTTGCCTAAGTTATAGGTAGTGCCTTCACTAATCGACACTCAATGGCATCTTCGTGAAACTGAAATATCACAATCTCAACAACAAACCTCTCCAATATATTCATCTTATGAAACAGCTCATGACAATCGACAAGGAATAAGCATCTTCATAATCAGTACGCATGAAGAATAGGGGTTTTAAATTTAAGAACTTAATAAAAAGATCATTTTAGTCACTAGTCATTACATGCCCACAGTGAATCAAGGAAACATACCAATTTCCAAGGACACATTTTCTATTGCTAGTGTTGTTGTTTCCACTTTTACTGCTCAAGTACTAACCAGATGCGAAATAGAGTGAAGAAGGTCAGATACCAATTTGTATCACCTAGATACTAATTAGATTTAAGTAATGGCAAGAAAGAAATAAAGAAGTTTTCCTAAAGTCCTATAGCCTCTCGAAGAAAAGTAAAGGCGTCCCTGTACCGTTCCGCAAGACTCTACTAGACTCTTCCTTGTGGGATGAGTTCACCAAACCTAAAGCTCTGATACCAAGTTTGTCACAACCCAAAACGAGTTATAAGTGACACCCACACTTAACCTCCTAGGTGAGCGAATCAATGAATTCAACCCAACTTATATCAATTGTTCAACTTATGGATATCAACCATAATGCGGAAGCTCAAAACTTATTGAAGTAACCAATAAAAGAAACATCAAGAGTCTATTACATATTATTTCCAAAACCTGAAAGTCATCATATCAAGGGCATATATTCTCAAAATACCAAGTCTAAAATATTAAAGACACCAAAAAAAATAAGTAGGATAGTCTATGTCCGAAATTTAAGGATATCATGCCATGACTGAGAAAATCCAGCACGAGCTAGAAGGAATAACTCACACTGAAATCTGATGTGCTGGAAATTGGCTAGAGCGTAGGGCGAGTCGAAGTAGATGGTATACATGTTGCACTCCACAAAAGAAAACGAAGAAACACAAGTAGGGGTCAGTACATGGCAACTTGTACGGAGTAGATATCATCGACCAACTCAAAATAGAAACCAATATGTAATAAGTAATAGTATAAATTCAACTATGGCACTTAGCAGGTGGCAAGCAACAACCAACATGAACAAGTGACAACAACACTAAAGTAAGTACGTAATCAGTCAACAATATCAAGATCACACATGAGGACTCATGCCTCCAAACCAATCTATTTTAAAAATTGTGTTCTTTGAGATTGAGTAGATTACGCTATTTATATATGTTTTCCTTTAATGTTACCATGCTAGAACGTGACACTTGATTCAATCACTTCGTGCCAGCTCGTGGCTCCCGATCCAATATATCGTATCGAAACGTGACATTTGATTCAATAATATTGTGTCGGCTCGTGATCCAAATATATCGTTAATTTATCATTTATTATCACCACTTTTCACTTCATTAACAATATTTCATCAAGACTTCTTTATTCAAGGCATCACTTCGATAGAAAAGGTTCAAGATTATAAATTTTACGGTCTCAAGATTTCAGACCAATCACAAACAACACATAGATTATCCAAACCACACAACCAAGTACATAGAGAAATTCACATATCACTCACTGACTATCAATCACTATTAAGAGTCTATCTATCAAATAGAATAAACAATAACCTACCTCAACCAAAGAACCAAAGTCAAGCAACCTAGTTCCCCAATGCTTTTCCTTTCCTCAATGCCTCAGAATGTTTCCAATCTATCAAGTATTCATAATT